GAATACCATCCGCAAGGAAGCACATCTGCTTGGTTTTGATGGTCGTGCTGCTGCCCATAAGCCTTTGATCATAAAGTCCAACTGCGCTGCTCGGTTAATGTGGTACAAAGCACATCGAAATTGGACCGTAGATCAGTGAAAACGGGTTCTTTGGAGTGACGAATCACACCCTTTACCGTTCGGATTGCAGGGTCTGGGTCTGGCGTCTGCATGGAGAACGTCTCCTGCCAGAATGCATTGTGCCAACAGTCAAGTTCAGCAGAGGTGGAATTATGGTCTGGGGGTGTTTCTCCTGGTATGGGCTGAGACCCTTGGTCCCCATTCATGGTAAGCTCAACTCCGATGCCTACTGCACTGTTTTGGATGACAATGGCCTTCCTACGTTGTGGCAGTTTTACGGGTTGAACCCCTGTTACTTTCAGGACAACAATGCCAGTTGTCATGTTTCGACGTTAACCAAGGCTTGGTATGGTGCCAATGGAGTTCATCGAATGGACTGGCCTGCCCAGAGTCCAGACCTGAACTCTATCGAGAACCTCTGGGACGAGTTGCATCGCCGAATTCAGGGGTGCACTACCCGTGCAAAATCGGTGAATTAACTTCTGTGTATTCTCCAAGCCGAGTGGAAGAAAATACCACTAGCTGTCATACAAAGACTTGTGGAAAGTATGCCCCGGAGGGTCCACACTGTAATTACCTCTCGTGGAGGCTCTACCAACTATTGATTTTGAATAAAGTTAGTTTTTCTTTTCTATCACAGGTGTCCAAATACTTATTGATAGTCAGTGTATTAGCCAATGAGGACAAAGCAAGCTGTTATTTGGATGTTCTTTAGTTATTTCGGTCATTTTGTCCTGAGTTGTGTGAGTACACGTGCCTTCGGGAAATAGTTTTAGAAATTATCATCTTTTGTTATGTCTGCGAGAAAGGTGAAATACTCATGTACGTTTCAAAAATCGTACACAGTTGACTTTCCTTCCATTATTTCCTCAAGGAAATGTAATAAATTTGTGATGTGTACCGCTTGTCGTTGCGATTTTTCGATTTCACATGGGAGAAGCGCGGATATTCTCAAACATGTGCATACACAAAAACACAAGGACAACAGGAGTTGTTTTGCAAAAAACGAAAAATTAAATTTTTCTTCGGAAACAAAGGACCAAAAAATTATTAATGCAGAATATCTGTTCTCTGCCTTTTTACTGGAGCACAACCTGCCACTGAATGCATCGGATCACGCTGCAGTTTTATTTAGAAAAATGTTTCCCGATAGTGAAATCACTAAGAAATACTCAAGAATCAAAACAGGTGCAATTGTTAAAGAACTGGATTTGAAAAATAAATCTTCAGTTATTGATTGCATTAAAACAGCTCCGTTCTTCCTCTCTACAGAAGCAATAATACCGATTCAAAACTGTATCCAATTGTTGTTTCTTTTTTTAATCCAGTGTCTTTAGAAACTGAGTGCAGTTTACTTTTCTGTCTCCACTTTAGAAGGACATTTGACAGGTTTTAATATAGCACAGCTAATTATTAAAACTCTAAAAGAAAATGCAGTTCCTCTGGATAATTGCTTAGCACTTGGTGCTGATAATGCACCAGTATTGGTAGACTTGAAGACTGGTGTTGCAGGTATCTTGAGAAAGGAAATTTCAGATTTGCAGATTATGAGGTGAAACCTGTCACCTCTTAAATTTAGCAGCTGAAAAAGGGGCAACTTCTTTACCAATAAATGTGTATGAACACATTGTTGATATTTATTATTATCTTGAAAGGAGTTCTAAAAGAAAGGAAAAATTGAAACAGCTCCAACAGCTGCATAACAGCAATTTACAATTAGAAAACTTGGATGAAGTTATAAAATGAGCTAGGACTGACACCCAGTGAAGTTTAATTGGAAAACTGAAAGATGCTGATGAAATTTTAAAATATAGTGAACTATCTAGAATTATGTTCGCTCTCTTGACAGTTTCCCATAGTAATGCAGAGTGTGAGAGGAATTTTCGTGTGTTGCGAAAACGAGGACTAATTTAGATCTAATATTAGTGATGACAAATTAGAAAATCTTTTATTAGCGAAACCAGGCCTACGTGGCAATTCCTATGAACACCCAGTGAAGTTTAATTGGAAAACTGAAAGATGCTGATGGAATTTTAAAATATAGTGAACTGTCTAGAATTATGTTGGCCATCTTGACAGTTCTCCATAGTAATGCAGAGTGTGAGAGAATTTTCAGTGTTGTTGGAAAAATGAGGACTAAATTTAGATCTAATATTAGTGATGACAAATTAGAAAATCTTTTATTAGCGAAACCAGGCCTACGTGGCAATTCCTATGAACAAAATTATGAAATTTCTTTCTTAAAGAAAGCAAAATCTGCCACTGTTTATAACATTTGTACAAAAACTGATTAAAGTGGTGGGGTTTTTTATTTTTATTTATTTATTTTTATTTTATTTATTTATTTTATTTTTTTTATTTTGATGCAAGTAATAAAAATGTTTTTTACGTGTAAGGTATTTTTGTGTTGCTTGCATTTAAGAATTAGTTACTATTTAAAGTTAATTCATTATCAAAAATATTTTCATCATTTAAAAAGTCTTTTTAACATTGTGAAAAATCTCCTGATTTCTTAAAAAAATCTCCTGATTTTTGAGTGTCATAGGTTGGCAAGTATGCTATCTACATAGCTGCCTACCTGTGCTCTTGCTTTGAAGAGGAAAAAGTTTTAAGGAAATTATGTAAAAAATTTGAACTGATTCAGTGGTTTTAATTATGTTATTTACTTCATGAAATTTCACTTGTGTCTTCTTTATAAATACAGAAATATTTAAAAGATTTTATTTTTTAAAAATTAACTTTGGTTTCAAAATTTTGCCTAAAATGAAAACTTTTAGTATTAAACACATGCCCTCCATCATCTTATTACATATCTGTGCAGAATTTAAGAGATTTGAGAACCTTTTCAAACTTGGATTTGAGAAATTTTAAGATTGGTCCCACTTGTACATTTATGTCTTAATTTCAGAATTTTTTTTTTTTTTTTTTTAATTTAGTTTAATGCTAAAGCTTAGCTCTCTCTGTTTTAAAAAACAAGCAAAAAAAAAAAAAAAAAAAAAAAGTTTTTAGAAAATTGTATAGTTGTTTTTCAGTATTTAGTAAATATTATATTACTATATTTTAGTTTTTAAAATTTTCATATTTGTATTTTAAGATGTCTGTATTATAAAATTATTGCAAAATTTATCTCAGCTGGCTATAGGTCGTATTAAGTGAAGCATTCTTTGGCATTTTTTTTGTCAAGTTTTATTTTAAACCACAAGACGCTTTTGTAAGTAATATTCGTCTTTCTGTGGGCATTATCTAAATACACTCATGTCCATAAATTAAGGATAATTTGGAGTCACCCGGAAATCGAACTCTAAAATAAATATATCACCTGTAAAATCACTACACACGTCTTCAAAAATCATATGCAAATTTCAGGAAGTTACCAGATGACACCGATATTACGTCACAATGACGAGAGTGTAAGAGAGTGATATATAAGGAGTACAGGCAAAGAAGTAAAATTGTTCGCAGGCGCTTTATAAGCATTTCAGTGCAATAACCGAATAGTTCTGACACAAAGGACGCATTTGGATGATTTTTTCCGTGATAGAATTATCGACCGTCTGGAATGTGGGCGTACCCAACTGGAATTATCAGACGAACTTGGAATTGCCCAGAGTTTCATCTCCAGGCTTTGGCAGCAATTCCAAGATGATGGTAATATGAGTAGATGTTACAGCACAGGTCTCCCCAGAGTTACAATGCCGAATGAGGACCGGTATTTGGCAGTTACTGCCAAAAGAAACAGGCGGAACACAGCCTCAGACCTGTCTCGTCAGCTCTCTTCAGCCAATGATACGACAATTTCAAGGCAGACCGTGTACAGACACATAGGGCAGATTGGTCCATATGCTCGTAGATCTGTCAGATGCGTTCCACTTACTGCAACTCACTGTCGCCTGCGGTTAGCCTGGAGTAGAGAGCATGCATTGTGAACACCGCAACAGTGGGCTTGTGTGATGTTTTCCGATGAGTCCAGGTTTAGCTTGCAGTCTGATTCTCGCCGTACTTTCATATGGAGAGCTCCAGGTACCTGGTACCACCAAGAAAACATCATTGAACGACACCGTTATGGTGGTGCAAGAGTGCTCGTTTGGGGTGGAATTATTCTGGGTTCCAGAACTGACCTGCATGTTCAAATTGGAATCATGACAAGCCAAATCTATCGGGACGTCATTCTGGAACAACATGTATGTTTGTTTCGGGGCGCCATGGGCGCACAATTTGTGTTTATGGATGACAATGCCCGTCCTCACCGTGCAAATTCCGTAAGCGAATGCCTTCAATCGGAGGATATCACTCGTATGGACTGGCCAGCATTCTCACCGGACTTGAATCCAGTAGAGCAAGTGTGGGACATGCTTGGCTGACAAGTTGCAGCCCGTCAACCTCCTCCTACATGTCTGTTGGAACTTCAGAGACCATTGCTTTTTGAGTGTTGTAATATCCCCCAAGATCAGATCGATGATTTGATACTCAGCATCCCTAGGCGTTGTACGGACTGTATTGCATCGTCTGGGAGACATACAATGTATTACCAATCATACCAACCATGTAATATTGTTTTTTTGTAATTTTTTTTTTTTTTTTTAATTTGTTCCAGGGAGAAAAAATCGCTAATTTTTAATTTTTTTAAATAATATCAAACATATAGCATCTTTTTTTGCTCTTTACCTTTTGTTTAATAAATATGCTTTACAAATAAGTCAAATTTGTTTTGCCTCTTCCTTTGCCTGATTTTGCATTATCCTTAATTTATGGACATGAGTGTAGTTAGTACTAATCTTATATAAACTGATGTGATAGGGTACTTCTTCAGAATATGCCATCTGTGATGAATTACACTTCCTATAAGTTTTCTAAATAACTGTTATTGTTAAATTTAACAGGACAGACATTATGCCAAGAAATATAACTTTAGCTACTGACAAAATGGAATCTGTTGTCTTGATGCCATATTATGGTAAGTAGTTTCATTGTTTTAATATTTGTATTCAGTTTATATGTACAACAAAGGCACATTCAATAGGTATAATGAATTTTGTAGCTATTGAGTACAGGTGTATCCCTCTTTTTCTTTAAGTTTGCTAATATCATTTGTCTTTCAGAAAGAAATCTACATAAATCCTTTTTTTGGTTATTAAAATAAATCTGAAGAAGACTTTTTAAAGAAAAGCATAAAGAAGAAACATCATTTAGCTTTTATTTATTTATTTATTGTGTTGTGATTGCAGAAAAGTGTTACTTTACAATTAAACATATACAGTACTCTTTTACAATTAATGTTACAAAGTTCCTTTACAATTACATGACTACAGTACTCTTTTACAAATAGAAAGGATGCAGATTGTATAAATTTCAGACTATATATTATCCATGAAGAACTGTATGATAGGAAAAAGACATTTGTCTAAGCAGTGAAGACCATGCTATTATATTTAAAGGTGGTTTTTTTTTTTTTTTTTTTTTTTTTTTTTCCCCTGTCAGAACAAATGACAAATTTCAACTTTTGCTGTTATGGCAAGCAGGAATTAGTGACTTAATAGGTGCAAACAACAATGAGATATTAAATGAATAGATTATCTTTGTCATATTCTCTTGCACTTTACGTTCCTGCATCTTCCACTCCCAAATCTATGAGAGTTAAGCATAATAAAATGTTATCACTGCCAATGCATCTAAGCTTTCAGTTTGGTCACTGTCATAGCAGTTTGTGAAACTGATACTGCCCAGTATACTTATATGGGTTGTATATTTGTCATACCATTTTTTTGTTGTCATTGTTATTTTAAGTTTTTTTGTTTTTTGTTATGATTTAATAGAATTTGTTTAGAAGTTTGAAAAGCCAAAGCTACATATATATATAATAATTTATTTACTAAAGAAATATTGATTATATCTATTATATTATATAATCTATATTAGATATATTATATTATATTATATCTAATATAGATTATATAATATAATAGATATAATCAATATTTCTTTAGTAAATAATATTATTATATATATTATGATAGCATATAGATATATATAGATATATTATAATTATCTTTCAATGCGCGCATGCATAAAGCATGCATTACGCATAGTCTAAATTAGAAAATTGCAACCGGAAAACTATTTGATGTGTATTCGTGATATTTATCTCCTAAGATTAATTTTAGTAGAATTATCTAAAAAGAGTGAATCCATAATTAGTAAGTTTAATTCCGAAAATTGTTTTAAAGTAACTTGAATGTAAATTGTTAAAAATGTTTAACGGGGACTTGAATTAAATCATGAATAACAAAATTTCAATTGTAAAAAGAAATTAAATTAAAAGCAGGTATATATATATGATAAAAACTTGGAGTAAGCTGCAATGGATTGACAATGGCTCTCTGCATTATAACTTGGAGAGACCTTACTACATAACTAAAAAGATGACACTCGAAGGAGAGACTTGTAGACAGATGTATCCATTGAGCATAATCTTTATTGCTGAACATGAACTAATTATCTGAAATATATTTTTCATTACATATGATCATGTAATGAAAACATAGCACAATTTTATACAGAGTATCACATTTTAAATAATGACGTAATTAGCAGCACGAAAATGCACAGCTAGAGAAATAGCTCCCAAGCAGCAATAGAGCTGCAAGCTAACTGCACATTTAACCAATATGGCAGTCTGCTAAGAAAAAGATTTTAATTTATATTAGAAAAGTTTCAGTTCCCAAGATTTACATCCTCAGTGTTGCCAAGCCATGCAAGATGGAATAATCTAGAAAGGATGCAATCCAGAGAAGTTATGATTTTTAAAACAGAGAGGGAGAATTAAGGGTACCGTTAGTTTAAATTATAATTTTTATTTATATATATATTTTTTAGTTATAATTTTTTTCGATATTTTTATGCCCTACAAATATATATATGCTTAATATAGATTAAAGTATTTATTAATTTATATTAATTGTGACTTATGGTTTTAATCTTGCTAATAATTTGATGCTTACTTGGAAGTAAGATGAAACACTCTCTTAATTTTGCTATTGTTATTTGATGGTAGATTGGTTTATCCCCTCGATAAGTCGATTAATCTGTGATCAATGACCACAGCTGCTTATTCTTTATTTAAAATTTACTTTTGGTTTTGGATTTTTGCAATTAAAAATTTTTCTTTGCTGATTTTTAAAATTACTACTTAAAATACTATTTAAATTGTAAAAAAAATTTTCATTCATGGTTTTAAATTCAATTTGCGTTCCTTGGGGATGGTATATGGAAAGTTTTCCTGTTATTATGAATTATTGGTTTATTACTCTGCAGCTTTAGCTTAAGTTTTAGGCTTTTTAATTTACTTTTACTTACTTTATTTTGAATTTATATATATATGTATGTTTCATAAGAAACTAACATAAAGTTAAATAAAATTAAATAATTCTCTTGTGCCATTGCTGCAAGGCATGAAATTTGAATTTAACAAATACGAAAACATTATCTCATTCATATAAAGCTAATTATAAATTATGAAAATTCAATTGTAAACAAATAAAAGATTAATTATTGCTGTGAACTAATTTGCAGTATCATTCAAATTCAGAAAGCATAAGTAAATTAAGTGCAAGCATAAAAAAATATATTTAATAATCCATAAACTAATCCTAAAAACTATCCTGAAGATAAGGATAGTGATGACAGATCAACTTCCATCTCCTTCATTTTTTAAGACTAAATTATGTTGCATAAAATGAATAGTTGAGCCGGCAGGTGACAGATCTTTTCAAGGGAAAGTTGCCTCCAAACCTAACTTTTCAATCATTCAATTTGTGTTTCATCAACCGTATAGGCATGGGTAAAGAATTAAACAAAACCAAAACTAGTGAATTGCTTAAATAAGAAATAAAACTTTAAAGAACTTATTTCATTAAGTTCTTTAAAAGACTTAATGAAATAAACTTATTCAGAGAAATTTAGTCAGTCAGTCCACTTATAAAACAAATTATTAATAAAAAGTACATTGCTGATGTAATTAAGAGTATTAATCTAAAGTAATTTAGAAACCCTAGCCTATTCTGGTACTTCCCCGACACGGATTATGGAAAAATAGACTATCTAGACATCATAAAAATAAAAAAAATAATATAAAATATGGTGAAAGTGCAGAATCGCCCACTGCTTGGAGAGGTTTTCAAAATCACCAACTTGGCGCGCTCTCGCGTCTTGTCTCCTGGATTTGCAACCCCTCCAGAAGACACTACACAAGGCACGACATTTACAGTGGCGAACAGTTAAAATAAATACAAAATAAAAGTTTAAGCAAAGTTTTGAAAACTGAAAATCCTTTAAAAACAGCTGAATAATTTTAAAAAACAAACATGATTAAGAAAACATAGTAAGCTTTAAAAACTTAATATCGTTACAAAATACTGAAGAATAAAAATACATTCACCTATAAAAAGTGCAGAATAACCCACTGCTTGACACGTTTTTAAGAATTGTACAAACTTGGTATCCATGTACACATCGACCTATTTTCACTTGAAAAAAAATCCCAGAATTGCACAAAAATGGCATTGCGCACTGTCTTGACTTTATCCATGTACACATTGACCTATTTTCATGTAAAACAATATCTCAGAATAGCACAAAAATGGCAATGGCATTGCGCATTGTCTTGACTTTATCCATGTACACATCGACCTATTTTCACTTAAAAAGTCAAAGAAAATTGACAAAAATCCAATTCTTCATACTCTTGTAAAAAGCACCAAACGAATAAGTGGGAAATTTTTAAAACTGGAAATCCTTTCAAAAAAACCTAATAACTTTTAAAACTTAAATCGTTTCAAAAACATAGTAAGTTTAAAAAACATAAAATCCTTACAAAACCCTGAAAAATTAATACTTTCGCTTTCAAAAAGTTTTAAAATATAAAAATCCAGTCCTTACAAAAACATAATTTTAAAAACTAAAAATCATTACAAAACACTGAAAAATAAAAATACTTTCACTGAAAAGGGTTAATCCACTCCACTCAGCCGAAGAACAAAAAGTAATGAATTCTTGAAATGTTTTGAGTTTTTTGTTGCTGCTAACTGTAAAAATAGAGGCCACTTATACAGTCAAAAGTCTTTAATCCGTACTCGTCGGGACTTCAGCGATTCTAGATTATCGGTTTTTCTGGATTATAGATCATCAGTTTAAATCTGGTAAGATGGCATGAAATCATAAAATTAAAAATAAGAAACCATAATTTATGAAATAAAGAGCAGTTATGATCTAAAGGGTATCAAAATTTATATAAAAAAAGCTTAATATTTATTTGTTTACTTTATTAAACATTTTTTTCAATGCGCGCATGCATAAAGCATGCATTACGCATAGTCTAAATTAGAAAATTGCAACCGGAAAACTATTTGATGTGTATTCGTGATATTTATAATGATGAGGAATTTGATTTAAATCATATCAAAGACAGAGTACATCGAGATGAAATATTACATTTAGTAAGGAATTATAAGCCGAATAAAATAAAAACATCTGCCCTGAAGATAAGGATAGTGCTGACAGATCAACTTCCAGTTCATTGCGCGGCATGAAATTCATAAACAGATTTCAGAATGGGTAGAGAAACAAAGGATATGCCTTTATCCATTTTTTGCAGCAATTCCACTTTTTGTTTGATGGACATCGAAAGATGCTTTCGCATTGTAGATCCTTTGGTAGCTCCAGAATCGGAAATTCTTTTTGACATAATCGAAAGTTCAAGCTTACTTTTATAAAATTGCTCCAACAGTCTGAAAAAAATAATAAGCCGGATCCAATTAGAAGATTAAGGAACAACGCAATCTGCAACATTAACTGAAATAGATAATTAGATAATTTTAGCTTAGCTTATACTGTCCGTTAAACATTAAACGCGCATGCGTAAACGTATTATGCACATGCGGTAATGCATTATGCAAGAAATCTGCACCAGTTACAGCAGTTTGAACATTGCGCACATAAAGAGGATAAACAAACTGTTTTCTTAAACCTAAATCTAAAGATAATAACTTTTGTTTATATACATTTATCTTAGTACCATTTGCAGCCAGAAAAGTTTGAATAGGAGTAGTCATTTTATCAGATCTTGAGGCTGGAATTAAGGAACAATCACTACCTGTATCAATTAAAAAGTTAATATTGGTTTGCGATCACGAACAAATAGGCGATGAGAACTGGAAGGCGAGGCGTATGTCGCCGCTACTTCTTGCCCTGGAAATTGCAGGGTGGAGTACACTTTTTTGCTCTCGAAGCAAATTTTTGGTGGTACCAACAGAAGTATCCGTCACGTTATGATTTTCTACATGCCGCTGCATAATGCGTAAGAGTTCAGATGGCTTTCGATCCCCTAGTTGCTCACCAGCAAGTAAGCGATATATTTCCTGCGATTTACTTTCACCACAGTGAGAAATGACTTCATTCTTCAGTTACCCATATGGATCCATTCTCTCAGGAGAAATGATGATATCCCTCATGGTCATAGCGATGTCGGGAGGTAAATGCACCATACAGTGGTTATACGTGGATCTGGATTCTGTTATAGCCTTTGGAACCACTAATTCAAAAGTAGATTCCACCATCATGAACCACAGAGATGGATCAGAAGGAATGAAAGGAGGTATTTTCACTGATATTTCATCCATTGTTTATGATGTTGTGTTTAATTTCATTTTCGTATTTTGTCCAAATTCCAAGAAACGATCAAAAGATGTGCGTTGTATGACGTCGGTCACCAGTGTAGGAGGTTCCATGGTGAGGCAAGACACAAGTATAAAATCTATAAACTTTATTTAACACATCAATAATGACATTCCGATGAGAAAAGGAACTGCCACTTCATGCACACCGCTCTCTCCTCCCATCATCCGCTCATCCGAGGCGGGCATGCACAGAACTCACAAAACTTCGTACAGTGTTTCCATGGCAACACCACTTACTCATTATGTTTATGAAAATTATTTGATTAATATTTCTCTCCTAAATCTTAATAAGCAGTCTTCCGTAGCATTGCTGCATCTGTTTCAGAATTTTTCATATATTATGTGTGGATTTGTTCAACAAATCCATCAACTGTGTTATCGAGTGTTATTTTATACAACAATTCTGAATTTCTTAATTCATTAAAAATTGCATTAGACTGATGCAGTTGTTAATGAATTAGGAAATTAATTTTATTTTAAATTAAGGGGAAAAGTGAAATGAGATAAAAGTTTATTCATGATGTGCCCATAAAATAACCAGACAGTTTCTTGTAAATAAGAAAATATTTTTAACCTTCAAATAAATTTATCTCCTTCAAATAATTGCTAGGATAGTCTATACAATTTGTACAACATTTCTTCAGGTCGTCGGAAACACTGTTTATAGGCTTTGGAACTAACTGTTCCCAAAATGTGTGTAACATTTGATTTAACCCTTTGAGGTTTTTAAAATTGTTTTTGGAAAAAATAACTTTACACATAGATAATTAACCCCTAATACAATGTTATTTCATGGGGGGGGGGAAAGGTAAACCTTTAACATGTGGTGGGATACCGCTTGTCCCACCGCACATCTAGAGCAGTCAAATGGCATCTTTGCACTGAGTGTAAATTCTCCTAACATGCTTATCTAAAGTGCTAGTTTTAGCAACCAAATGAAAATGCAAGATACAGAAAACGTTTTTGAGTAATTATCTAGAAAATATTGATCATATTCTCAAAATAAATGTTTTTTTAAATTACATTATTTAAAAATATCTCTCTCTGTATTCCTTTTTAGATATTTTTTAATGATTTTATAATAGATTTAAAACAGAGAAGATTTTTGCTTGCATACTTTATTTGCTACAGGTTTGAAAAGAAAGCTATAAGAAGGCCTTTATGTTTATTTACATTTCACTGCTCTTTCCTCTGCTTAGGATATTTTTCTATGGTGAATCACACTCACATATCCATTCAATGTTCACTGACATTTCATGTTACAGAGTTATATTTTCATTTCTTTCTGAAAAAATACTAAATACTTTTCGAGTTTTAACATTACTGCAATTTATTAAAAAATATAAATTTGCATTATCAACATATAAAATGAACATGATACTTGAATTTAAAATTTGAACTCTGCTGCCATCTAGTAACAGCAATTCCTACATGCGCAGTGGGATGTATTTGTCCCATCTTTTAATTTCAACCATTCTTAATTAATATATATGAATTCAAATAATAATTTTTATTAGAAAAGGAAACTTTCACTACAAATATTCATTCTAACACCAAAAGTTGTTTAGATGATTTAAATTGCATTAGAAACTAAGGAAGAAACTGCTTCAAAATTAGACCTGCAAAGAATTTTTATTTTACATTATTTACTTGAATGAATACTAGTGCTGCCATCTGTTATACATTTATAGAACTAAAAGACATAATTGTATGTATTTTAAATGGAATTTTGAAATTTCATCTGGGAGATAAAAACTGATAAAAAAGGTGGGACACTTGGCATCCCACTGCCCGTCAAAAGATGTTTTCAAATCTGTGCCCTTTCATGGCCATCTTAACCTTCAGAAAAAGGAAAAAAATCAGCTGGCAGTAAGTCAGAAGAATATGCTGAATGATATATCACTGTAATTGAATGCTTAGCAAGATATTCTTGTACAGATAATGTTGAATGGGACCTAGCATTATCATCTAAAAGAAACCATTATCCTAAATCAAAAAGTTCCTTCCTAACTTACCTATCCCATTTCTTAATCAAAAAGCATCTCCTTCAAATAAATTCTGGCTAAATGATGGATTTTTAGGGACCAATTCATGGTGAATAAGTCCTTTTCAATTAAAAAATACAATCAGCATCACTTTAGTTAATTTCAACATCCATGCTTCATCTATGTTTTTGCTCTCATGTTTAACATCAGGAGAATATGCTCAGTGATGTATCACTGCAACTGAATGCTAAGTTAGATACTGTTATACAGAGAATGTTGAATGAAGCCTAGCATTGTTGTCTAAAAGAAATCATTATCCTGAATCAAAAAGTTACTTCCTAATTTGCCTTCTTAATCGAAAAAGCATCTCCTTGTAACAAATTCTGGCTTATTGATGGATTTTCACAGACTAATTCATGGTGAATAAGTCCTTTTTAAACAAAAAATACAATCAACATTTAGTTTTTAATTTCAACAACCATCCTTAATCTTCAATGTTTTTGTGCCCATGTTTAAAATGGCTGGACCACTTATGCACTTGTGTTCTGGATAATGATGCATCACCATATGTTGTTTAAATCATCTCTAATGTTTCAGTAAGAGATTTGCTTAATTTGTAACAAAATTTAATGTCATAATGTTGTTCCATCTCAAAGCAAATTTTTTTGTAGAATGTCTTCTCAGTAAATGAAAATGACTCCATTGTTTTGATATGCAAATGATAAAAAAAGGAGTTTAAATTACCTTTAATGAGTTGAGATGTCGCTGTTTTTAAGCAAGCATCTATTTTTATGTTACTTTTTTTAAAAAAAAACTTTTTTAGCCTTTTAATTTGTCTTCTTATTTTATGGACACATCTTGTATTTTATGAATATTTTGATGCATTTATGTTCATAGTTCATGAAATAACTACAAATCTCTTGATAATAATTACATAGACAATTATTCATTAAGTAGATAATTATTAAGTTGTTAAAATTCACCTTGCCTAAATTTATTTCAGTTATAAAATTGAAATTAACCATATATATATTTGCTCATATTCAAATTTAAAATTAACATTTCTTTGTGTTTTGTTTTAGGACTCAATGTATATAGTATGCTGAAATATGACACAATAGTTATGACTCTGGAGGCATTAAATAAAATTGAGGAAAGACTATTGTTTCATCTTCATAGAAGTGATTTAGATGATGGTAAATTTAACAGATTTGACTTTAATAAATCTGTTCTTAAGAACAGTGATGTAATGCGTATGGATCCAAAAACTACTACATAATTAATAAATTATTGAAAATAAGTTGAGTTTTTTATTTTAAATGAATTGATATTTATTTATTAGACAAATATGAAATTTCTTATACATTAATGGTTTCTTTCACAAGGTATTAATTTGTTACAAAGTATCCTTTATAAGACAGTTAATGAATAAAATCTTGTGTAAGAAATAATTTCATCGTATGTTGAGTGCTTTTATGTAATTATGCATCCAGAAATGCTGATTTCTTTAAGAGGTGTCCCTAAGAGAGAGTTCACTATGTTTCTGTATGTCATGATTTTAATACAGAAATCTCAATATTGAAGTTACTTTTTTCTATAATAACACATTATATAATGGGAAATTGCACACATTTTGCTGTAAATACATAAAGTAAAACTTAAGCCTAATATTTGTTATATTTCTATTTCATAAATGCTTTTATAAAGTGTGTAGTTTCATTAAATATGCATATGTGTAGAATTATTAATTTTACTTTTAAGGGAACAAGCATATAACATTTTCAATACAATCATTGCCACTTAAATCATGTATGTTGTTTAAATTAATAAAACATGTGTAATTCATAAAGTTCGAAAATTTTATATTTTAAATTTATATATACAGTGGCTCCCAAAAGTGTTCGTACACTTATGATTTTCATTGAAATAGGAGGTCATCTATCCATTAATTAAAATGTGAGTTCTGAATGAGGTTTTTATAATAAGATCTATAATCTATTCGTAACAAAATTACATGAAATATTTTTTAAATATAGCGAAACTTTATTTTTAAGAAATTAATAATCAAAAAAGGATTAACATTTTATCTCACAAAAGTCTTCGTACACTGAAATATTTTTGGATAAAATCAAAATTAGAATTATCGTTTGCCACTTTTGTTAAAATTTTTTGCTTTGTGGTGGCATTTAAAAATTGTTTGCTTTAATTTTTTATTGTTTACTTCATAATATTCTATTTATTATTGAAAAATGGGTCGCAGTCGTAAAGAAATTACAAACAGCATTCGAAAACTGATAATTTTTCACCATAGCAGTGGTAAATCAATTTGAAATATCGCTAAATTAGTTAATTTATCCCATTCTACAGTGCAGTATGTGATAAAACGCTTTAAAGAAGAAAATCGGATTGAAAACAAGGTAAGAAAAGGTCGACCGAGAAAATTAACTAAACGTGATGAGAAATTTATTATTAGAAAATTTTTACAACTCACGTTTGAGTGCTGTAAAAGTTTCTGCAGAACTTAATGCAAAGTTTTCTACTTCAATTTCACCTTAACTTGTTCGGCGAGTTCTCAAAGCTGGATTACATGGGTGTTCTGCCCATAAAAAAAATTTTGTTAGTGAGAAAAATAGAAAGCTTAGGCTTTCATTCGCAAAAATCAATGATAAATATATCCAAAACGTACTGGAATAATGTCCTATTTGATGAAAGTGAATTTGACATTTTTAGTTCTGATGGTCCAATAACTGTATGGAAAAGAAAAAACGAGGAACTTCATTCTAAGAACTTAGTTGGAACAGTTAAGCATAGTGGTGGAGGTGTTCTTGTGTGGGGGTGCATGACAGCATCAGGACTAGGTAATTTGGTATTTATTGATGGCATAAAAATCATTCTCTTTATTTAAATATTTTAAGAGGCAATTTATAATTATCAGATCAAAATTTGGGTATTGGAAACAACTTAATTTTTAATCATGATAACGATCCTAAGTATACGGCTCTCAAAGTTCGCCTGTAGTGTCTCTGTAATTGCCCATAGGTTTTGAAAACACCTCCTCAGTCGCCAGATTTAAACCCCATAGAACACATTTGGAAAGAGCTGGAGGTTTATGAAAACATGACATCAAAATGAAAAGCGAACTCGAAACATCCATGATGGAAGGATGGATGAACATCGATACAGAAATTACAAAAACAAGTAGTAAAGTCTATTCCCAGTTGTTTAAAAGCTGTTGTGGATGCTAAAGGATATCCTACTAATATTAATTTAACGAAAAATAAAAATATTTACTAATATGTCAAGATTTTTTTGAAGTGTACAAGGACTTTTGTGAGATAAAATGTTTGTCATTTTTTTGATTATTAATTTCTTAAAAATAAAGTTTCGCTATATTTTAAAAACATTTCATGTAATTTTGTTACAAATAGATTATAGATCGTACTATTAAAATCTCATTCAGAAAGTTTATTTTTAATTAATGGATAGAGCCCTATTTCAATGAAAATCATAAGTGTACAAACACTTTTGGGAGCCACTGTATATATATTTTTTACAAATGGCGGGCACTTGCCTATTACAGCATTGGCCACTACTAGGCCAGAAGTGGTGGCCATTTTATTATGGAGGCACCTAATAGGTGGCACCATTACCTCCTATGAAGAGACAGACAATTTTACATTCATGCCTTCGCCGGGATTCGAACCCGGGCCCTTTGGTATCGCAGTCAGGCTCCCCTAACCACTATAACATCTGGGCAGCAAATTTATAATATAATTAATTATGTATATTTTTCAATATGTTAAAATTAATACATAAAATATTTTTGGTATAATATGAATAGAATACATGCTTTATGTAGACTGGTGACGGAGGACAGGGACACTTGGTGTTTAACAAAGATAAGCAGGTATATGTCCCAAGCCTTCCACTATCTTAAACCGGGAGCTTCCAAGACCCAGCAAGCCTATCTTGAGAATGCATTTGTATAAGCATTAACTGTTAGAATGCATTGGTGATGCCCTTCATGTACACAGGAGCAGGTACTCAAAAACAACTGGATTAATTTTTAAGTACAGTCAAAAGTCTTTAAATCCTGACTCGTCGGGACTTCGGCGATTTCGGATTATCAGTTTTTCCGGATTATAGATCATCAGTTTAAATCTGGTAAGATGGCATGCAGAAATTATAAAATTAAAAATATGAAACCGTAATTTATGAAATAAAGAGCAATTATGATCTAAAGGGTATCAAAATTTACAAAAAAAAAATCTGATGTGTACACTGCATGACTTCCTTGTACGGAATATTAACCGCTTGCCTGATTATCCCGTGTTATCTTGGGTTCGTATATATTGCAGTTAATTATTATCCTGAGAAAACTTGGGCGAAGCAGAATTTGTTAGTACGATTTCTTTTATCACGGTTTTACTCGGTCTGGAAGAAATGAAAGGAAATATTCAGCTTTGATTGGCAGTTTGCCAAATTTTGTTGGTTGCGCGGTTCTTTTGGAGGAACTGGTCGCGTGTTTCCCTATTGTAAGTATACATTGGCTTGTAGATTAGTAATGTATAAAGAAGGATGCATGCATTGGGAAAAAAATAAAACAATGTCGATGATGCAACATAGCGAAAGCGATGATTTTTCAGATGGTGATTATGAAGAGGTGGGGGAGGAAAAAAAATCTAATCCAACGAGACAAGTGTACTCTGTGCTCCCGTGAAAGAGATACCAGGGGTAAGCCAGTAAGAAAAGAGACCAGATACCAGTGTAGAACGTCAGGTATCACTCTATGTTGTCCCTTGTTTCAAAAACAATCATACAAAGATTAATATTTAACTATTTTCGTTTGCCCGAGATAACTCGGAATAGTAAACTAATATTAAAAATAAATGCTTTTACACCTTCAAAAAATTAAAAATTCAACTTAAAACCTACATATTTTGATTTGTTTCGTTTTGTTGTATTTAATAATAAAATAAAAAAATGTGATGATTTTTTGCAATTTTTTTCAAAAAAATTTGTAAGGGAAGCGGTTAAATTATACACATTTTTTCTTGCATTTCATATAAACTTATTGGATTTAATTAAATCTACTTCACCGACAGTGCATAAACCACAATAGAATAAATGCATTCTTTAAAATTCACTCTATTTGTTTACCATAGCGACACTCTGGTTAGACTGGCACTAGGTTCACTTAACAGTACTATATTTCGTTCATATTATAACTCAGAATGCACAAAATTTATATCATTTAAAGAATTATCTAATTATTGCGTTATGTTCTATTCAAATACTATAATAAAGCTAGAACTATGTATAAAAGAAATTAATCAAACGAAACAAAAAAGGAAAACAGTTTTTCACAGACGATTGAGTATTTCTCATTCAATTAATTCAATTCTCACTTCACGACAAGACAAAAGTACATAAAAACTCAAAATATATGTATTAAAAATTACGAAGTAAATCTTAAACACTTATTTTCTTGAAAAAATTCCAGAAAGGATTAAGCATGATTTAATTCACAGTAATAAATAAAGGCGTTATCTTGTTGTTGCGAAGCTAAGTTCCTCTAGATTAGCAACAAATCCACTATTCTGCTATTTCAAATGTTAACAAGCAATGGCCGCCACCAAAAAATTATTATGCTTAGTGGCACTTAAACAACTTTTAAATTATTGATTATTCTAAAAATACTGCATACAGATTTACTAAAGCATAAACCTTAACCGGAAGATAAGAACTACATAATTCAATTATTTTTAAAGCAAAAAATGTACAATTTACAAACATAAGAGTAAAGAAACTGAGATTACTGAGCCGGGTAGTAGAGTGGATATATATATATATATAAATATATTTATATATGTTTGGTGTGGCCGGTTACAACGAAAATACAAGTTGCACATCTACATGTTATAGCAGTCGTATATGCAAAATTTCAACGTTCTGAGGCTACTCGTTTTTGAGTTATGCGAGGTACGTACGTTCATACAGATGCTACGAAAAATTCTCTTCAGAATTCATTTTAAAGCAGTTTTATAATTTTTACAGAGGAAAAGAGTCTTTTATTTTGTTCTTACGTACAGATATCATGCAAAAGCATCATTAAATTGCATTCGATAGCGCTCAAAATGGATATTTTCGTTGAAATATGCTGCCTGAAACTTTTCGCGATTACAATACTTCCTTTTTACTTCATACAAGGAATAAATATTAAGCTTTTTACTTCCTTTTTACTTCGTACAAGGAAGTAAAAAGCTTAATATTTATTTGTTTACTTTATTAAACATTTCTTTCAACGCACGCATGCGTAAAGCATACATTACGCATAGTCGAAATTAGAAAATTGCAACCAGAAAACTATTTGATATGTATTCGTGATATTTATAATGACAAGGAATTTGATTTAAATCATATCAAAGACAGGGTACATCGAGATGAAATACTGCATTTAGTAAGGAATTATAAGCCAAATAAAATAAAAACATCTGCCCTGAAGATAATGATAGTGCTGACAGGTCAACTTCCAGTTCATTGCGCAGCGTGAAATTCATAAACAGATTTCAGAATGGTTAGAGAAACAAAGGATATGCCTTTATCCATTTTTTGCAGCAATTCCACTTTTTGTTTGATGGACATCGAAATATGCTTTGCTTTGTAGATCCTTTGGTAGCTCCAGATTCGGAAATTCTTTTTGACATAATCGAAAGTTCAAGCTTACTTTTATAAAATTGCTCTAACAGTCTGCAAAAAATAATAAGTCGTATCCAATTAGAAGATTAAGGAACAACGCAATGCAACATTAACTGAAATAGGTAATTTTAGCTTAGCTTATACCATCCGTTATACACTAAATGCACATGCGCAGAAAGTTTGTAGCTTTGAGGTCCGGATTATAGATCATTCCGAATTATGGATGTCTGGATTAAAGACTTTTGACTGTAATTTTTTTTTACATAATTTATTTCCCTTTAGTGTATTCTCCATCGGCATTGATATAATTGTCTCAATATTTTTCTCACTACTATAAGACAGAAATAATTCTGGAACTCTAGACATGCAATATTATTCAAGGCTTTCCAGTGAATTTTTTTTATCTGTGGATATAGAACAAAGTTGCAACAAACACACTAGTCTTCATTTTACATTGTGCCATTTTTGAATCTGGAGAGACCGCTTGCAACATGCAATTTCATCAAATTATCATCTTTAAAGATTTAATGAAATATAAGAGCAGGTCTCCTCAACAGAAAACAAACGAAATTTCGCATGCAGTTTTCATTTTTTGTAGCAATATATCACAAAAAATCACAGGATTATGTATGCAAAAATATACACAAATCAAAATCGGAGAGAAAATACTCAACTCAGACTAATGTGATTGACAGATACCACAGATAATCATAACTGAACAAAGTGTAATGGCAAGATCTATAATTCAAAAATTCTTGCATAGAATATTGTCATACCCTCTATTTTGATATATGTCTAATTTATCATTAATAGTATGGCAAATAGAATGGGTATAAAAAGCCACAAAGAATTCAAATTCTTAATATTTTAAGAAACATTTAAGCATTTATATATGGAATGTATTCAATGATAAAGCATAAATGAACATTGTTAAATAGAAGACAAAATACTGAATTGCTATAATGGAATGATACTGGCTATGTTGAAACGCTGTGCTACTTATAAATTCTTTTATTATAATCTTAACAAATAATAAATGATAGCTTTTGAAACACATGTCATTTTAAAATGATAGCTGTTTTAAAAACCTATCAAGTATGTAAAATTTGGCACAAGCTAACATGCTCATTGTAAGAGGAGAATTACTTAAGCCTAAATTATTCAAAAACTTATATATTTGTGCCCTGTGTCTTTAATCATACTTTTTATAAATTACATTAAAATTACTAATAATTACATTTTCGTAAATAAAATGGAAACTTAAAGGAGAAATGGGATGTTTCCCTAGCAAGCAGAAAATTAAACTTCTTAGTATATTTTATGAAGAAAAGGAATATTGTAAGTCAGATACGTTTATTCATTGCACAAAAGATAAGCTGGAAAGAAGAAATTGGTTCATTAATTTATTGAATATAGAATAGCTGATGATATGTTTTACATAAAAAAGATAAATTATATCTTTTCTTTCATGTAATTTTGAAATAGCTAAAAATATTTCCATATAAAAATATTAATTTCAGTGTGATAATAATAAATTCTCAGTATATTGTCTTCCAAAAAGCATGCGATGGTAAAATAAAGAAAGTCGAAAAGTAAAGCTTTAATTAATACCAAATTATACATGAAGGTCACAGATATAATTATGCATAAAAGGAAAACAAGCGTTATAAACAAAGATGAAAACAGTATTTAATTTTTATGAATCATATTATGACATTACACTTGGATCATTAACAAATTGATGTTTAAAGCTAAAAAGAAACAAAACTTACAATAATAAGGTATATTATCACTTTCACTGGACTCTCACACAAACTTTACAATGAGTGGCCGTGCTTTGAATGAGGTAATCAACCATCACATATGTTATAATCTAAAAAATAGAAACTTCAATATTATTTGTCGCCATCTGATTGGACTCATAACCATGGTAACAACAGCTGCGAGAGAAGTCGCAAAAAATGCTTTTTTTAATATCCACTTCATTTCCGTGCACTAAATCAAAATTATGCTGTAGAATACTGAATTATTCTGCCAGTTGAAACAAAACAAAGAATAATAATCCAGAATATTATTCTTTTCATTATAAAAGATAATATATAAAAACGAGCATTGTTTTTAGCAGTATTACACATAAAAGTCATTGGTTAATATTATGAATTAGAGTGGTTTTAATTTTTTAATAAAAGATAGCTGAATAAATCAGTAACATTAACAGAATTACAAATTAACATATTTTGCTTTTGCTTAATAAGTGTATGTATATTAGTATGCATTTAATTCATATTGGGGAACTTGCTTCAGTTTTTAAAAATTATCAAATTTAAATTGAATTCTAATGTAATTAAGTTTTAAACATAGGTTGTCTGATCTAAACTACCTTTCAACTGCATGCAAAGTAATCTAACAAAGTGCCTAAATGAAGGCTGACTTGAACTACACACTCAAATAATGTGAAGAAAATAAATGCTGCATGTTGATAATGACACAAGTGATTATCACAAAAGGGACACAGGAACTGGCAACATATTTGATGTGCCTATTTTAAAAATAACAGACTAAAAAAATAGCCAATAGCCATTTCTCCATAAGGTGCAGAGACATCAAACCCAAGGGTATCCCAAAGATTTGCAACAAGAATTATGTCAGTATGATACAGTGGCCACTGCATACAGGAAATGTCCTCATTCTCTAGGTACTCATCAATGGTGCTGTTTTGATGGGAATGAGTTGTAAGTAGGAAATGAGGACTAAGTGCTGCAATATAAAGTATCACAATGGAGTGTTACCACACAGTTGTCAAAGAATCACTTTTACAGATATTCAGATCGGTGTGAAATTTCACCACACATCTTGTCTCTACCACATCTGAATGCATGGTGTTCGATGATGTACTTGCTTCAAAAGAAAAACACTAGCCATTTCTCTATGAGGTGCAGCAAAAACACACTCAAGGGCATTCCAAAGATTTGTAACAGGATGAATTCAGAATAATATGGTGGCCACTCCATACAGGAACTCATTCCCTATGTACTCATTAATGATGAAGATGAACATCAGCAGGAAATGAGGGCTAACTGCTGCAATGTAGAGTATCACAATGTAGTGTTACCACACAATTCTCATAGAACCATCTTTGAGGATGTTCATATGTGTGTGAAATTCCAGTACACATCATATATGTACCACCTCTGAATACATTATGTGCTAAGCCTGTTTCATAAACCTCACATAAATACATTATGTGCTAAGCCTGTTTCATAAACCTCACATAAATACATTATGTGCTAAGCCTGTTTCATAAACCTCATTTTCTCTAAACCCTCACACATTTATTGATTCCAAAGCAAATCTAAACTTCAGTCCAACTGAGATGTTGATGGCACAGTTTTATTACTCTTTTGTAAAGTTAGCAGAATGCAAACATTTGGTACTCAGGCATGCAGTTCCTTTATCCGAAGCCTTCAACGTGCAGTACAGGTCTTGCCAAGTGACGTTGCAATCATGGATCTAATGCTAGTGGAGATCACTCATTAATTCCTCTTGGCTATTATAGCAATAAAACAATCTTCAGAAGACCTTGGTCGACAGAACACAGGACTTGCTTGGAATTCTTTCCACATTGGAGAAATTACCAAATGATCTTCAACCAAAGAAAAGAGCAATATCTTCAGTTGACTATTTTGCTTCAATGTGTCTAACAGTATGCTATAGCACTCATCTGCCAGTTGTGTTTTTTCAGTCATAGAAACATGGATATCTTCAAAAATATCCTAAATAAGTTTGAAACACTTCGTATTAACATTTAATCGAATCTCCTCAAACCCTTCAGGATGCTGGTGCCTTCAACAGCTGCTTAATTAGAATAAATTTAGATTGTTAATTGTGATTGACTGCAATATACGATATTTGCATACTGCCATCTGCATTTGTAGTGATTTTTAGCCTCTGAAATTCAGCTACCAATTTGCATTGCTTGCTATACTTTTAGCAGCTAGTGCATTTAACCTTTTACACACCACACTATGATGCGAAAGTAAAATAAACGTTTTGTTGTGGAAAATCAATTTAAAACTCAAATATAGGAATTATGAAAAAAGAAAACATTTTTTTAATTGTTTTAATGAATTATAACATGTTCCATACATGGAATATTGGCGCGGGAAACAGTTTTTTTACATGATTTTTGAAAAACATGATTATTGACATTCTAATTCGAAGCTTCTTTTTTGTCTGCACTTTTTCTGCAATAGCAAGTGCATTTCTCAACGTTATTCAGAAGTAGCATAGATTAAAATGAAAATTACATAGTTGATAAGCATTAATTTATAAAATAATTTTACATTAACTGTTAGCAGTTTATACTGAAACAAGGAAAAGAGTTGTAGAATAAAGAAGTAACAAATAATCTCCATACAAAAAAAAAAAAAAAAAAAAAAAAAAAAACACCGAAGGAAATCATATGAATAAAAAGTTAAATAATACAAGTAAAAATAGAAACTTGCCAACATTTTTGGAACAAGAAATAAAGACAAAAAATAATTATTATTTTTATGGTTCTGTTTCATGCGAAGCAGACATAAAGTTACTTTTCTCCTGAAATTGAGATGTGACAATTCGGCTTCTGTACCTTTGTGCAAATGTGAATGTAAAATCCACCCGGCAACAACAGCCATATTTAATGCATTGCTAAATAGATTCCAGTACCATTTTTTGCTTCTAAACATAGGTCGATCTAATCCAAGAAGTTTCTAGCAAGCCAACTCCTCCCATTCCTTCATTGCAGGCGCGTAGCCGGGGGGGGGGGAGGAGTGCCCTCCTGCTTCACCACTACCTATACTTAAAAAAAAAAAAAAGTGCTAAATAATTTTCAATAGATAAGACTTTTTTTTTTTTTTTAATATTGCTTTCCAGCCTCCCAAAAAATTCACATGATTAACAAGGAATGAACGGAAAGTCTACAATTTTCCAATTAGAAGAGAGATCAAGAAAAGTCATCCTTCCACAACAAACAAGCGGCAGGAAAGTACTTGGAAGGTTATGTGACACTCTAAAGTCGTAATGGCTTTTGTTCTTTTACAGTTTTGAAAAATACTCCGTATATATATACACTCATGTCCATAAATTAAGGAAGGATAATGCAAAATCAGGCAAAGGAAGAGTTAGAAGCAAAACAAATTTGACTTATTTGTAAAGCTTATTTATTAAACAAAAGGTAAAGAGCAAAAAAAGATGCTATATGTTTGATATTATTAAAAAAATTAGCGATTTTTTCTCCCTGGAGCAAATTACAAAAAAAAAAAAAAAAAAAAAAAACCTATTTACAAAAAAACCAATATTACATGGTTGGTATGATTGTTAATACATTGTATGTCTCCCAGACAATGCAATACAGTCCGTACAACGCCTAGGCATGCTGAGTATCAAATTATAGATCTGATCTTGGGGGATATTACACCACTCAAAAAGCAATGCTCTCCGAAGTTCCGGTAGACATGTATGTAGGAGGAGATTGACGGGCTGCAACTCGTCGGCCAAGTATGTCCCACACGTGCTCTACTGGATTCAAGTCCGGTGAGAATGCTGGCCAGTCCATACGGGTGATATCCTCCGATTGAAGGCATTCGCTTACGATATTTGCACGGTGAGGATGGGTGTTGTCATCCATAAACACAAATTGTACGCCCGTGGCGCCCCGAAATGGCGTACGTGTTGTTCCAGAATGACGTCCCAATTGGCTGGTCATGGTTCCAATTTGAACATGCAGGTCAGTTCTGGAACCCAGAATAATTCCACCCTAAACGAGCACTCCTGCACCATCGTAACAGTGTCGTGCAATCATGTTTTCTTGGTGGTAACGAGTACCTGGAGCTTTTCATATGAAAGTCCGACGAGAATCAGACTGCAAACTAAACCTGGACTCGTCGGAAAACATCACAAAAGCACACTGTTGTGGTGTCCACAATGCATGCTCTCTACTCCAGGCTAACCGCAGGCGACAGTGAGTTGCAGTAAGTGGAACGCATCTGACAGGTCTACAAGCATATAGACCAATCTGCCCTAAGCGTCTGTACACGGTCTGCCTTGAAATTGTCGTACCAGTGGCTGAGCGAGACAGGTCTGAGGCTGTGCTCCGCCTGTTTCTTTTGGCAGTAATTGCCTAATACCGGTCCTCATTCGGCGTTGTAACTCTGGGGCGACCTGTGCTGTAACGTCTACTCACATTACCATCATCTTGGAATCATTGCCAAAGCCTGGAGATGATACTCTGGGCAATTCCAAGTTCGTCTGATACTTCCAGTTGGTTACGCCCACGTTTCAGACGGCCGATGATTCTACCACGTAAAAAATCATCCAAATGCGTCCTTTGCGTCATAACTATTCGGTTATTGCACTGAAATGCTTATAAAGTGCCTGCGAACAATTTTACTTCTTTTCCTGTATTCCTTATATATAACACTCTTACACTCTCGTCATTGTGATGTACCATCGGTGTCATCTGGTTACTTCCTGAAATTTACATATGATTCTTGAAGACGTGTGTAGTGATTTTACAGGTGATATATTTATTTTAGAGTTCGATTTCCGCATGTCTCCGAATTATCCTTAATTTATGGACATGAGTGTATATATATCTTCTTCCGTACGTATCCGGTACCACTTGCCGTTTAGCTATCCAGCTTAATGTCACTGAAGACGAAAAGCCCTTTCATTTCGGACCAAGCATCTAAAAGCATAATGGTTAAAAGAAAATAAATACTAGAAAAAGAAGAAGAAAGTAAAGAGAAGAAAAAAATAAAGTTGGGGAATCTAATTTTAAGATTTGCTACTTATTACCTAAATATTGCACAAAACAGAAACATAGTAAAATAATTTTGAGTGATTGTTTTACGTTAATTTCGAATATTTAAATAATATATAGCAAAAATATTTTTGAAAATTTCTGAAATAATATAGAGAGCATGCCAACTTCGATGTTTTCAATGCAATAAATTTTATTTTCTTAGTCATCTAGCAATTTAAGTTCTTGTTATTTAAAATGATTTAATAGAGTATTTGTTAAATACGCAGATAGTTTATTCACTGCCAAGCATTTTATTTCATTTTATTATTAGCCTAAAGGCACAAATTGCACAGAAAAGCTATTAATTTCGTTTTAGTATTTTGCGTTGGTTCAGTATAAACGACATTTCACTTTTCAAATTGTTGCCACCAAATATTAGAGCTCTGCATTATATTTAAAGAAATTAAATAATGAAGAATCTGCATAAATGTGTGTATGTTTCTCGCAATGTGTAAAAACAACATTACCTAGAGACATCAAATTTTGAATAATGTAGTCTTTCACTCGAATATGGGCATCTGGAAGCCCAAATTTGGAGTTTGGAATTGGTTTTTATTATCTATTTCATGTTCTGTAAAACTTTAACGAATTTTTGATTAACAAACACAACCATTTCAAAGCAAGCAAAGGCAACACTGTACGAAAAAAAAAAATATATCTCCAGCGTGCAAGACTATGTACTGAAAATTCTAAAGATAATTTTAATTTATTTTTTAATATTGTTGTTGAATTGAATTTTATGGTTTAAGTGTGGAGAACATAATGTTTAATAAATAAATGTAACACACAAAACGTTAAGAAAACGCCCTTTGGGGGTAATATAAAATCTGAAAGAGTTCGGATTTATTTACTTTGTGTGCGTCTGTGTTTGGAGCAAATAATCAGTCAATTACAAATTAAAAGGAAGTAAAAAAACAAAAGAATTTAAATAGAATGGAAAAATAGCCCATTAATGGGCAAAATGTATAAGATTGCTGAACAGTGATAGTTCGACATAGGTTAGAATAACAGCAAACGAGCTTTTATGGTTTTCCTTATGTATAAGGATTTGTACCTAGTCTGTCTCGGCCAAGGGGGGTTATAAAATCACGAGTCTGACGGTTCCATAACCCCAAAAGAAGATTGTTTCATACGATCGGACTGAGGGGTGATTGGCGAAGACTGAGGGGGCTGAAGGATAAGTTTTTCTGTGAGGAGAGAGACCCTTTGATCTGTGATATAGCTTGTATGTTCTGTGAGGACAGAGACCCTGTGAGGAGAGAGGTAATTACTTTGGACTTCGCCAGACAGTTGGCCTACTGGAGGGAGGAAGTCTCTCTAGTGAGGGGAGAAGTAAGAAGTCTGTACTCGATCTGGTATGTGTTGGCCCACAGGGAAAAAGGTCCGAGCCCGCGTAGTACTGGCCGGAGCATTTAGACGACCAGTCAGATCTCCAGATGTACAAGTTTCGCGCTGCTATAAAACTTGGGAACCGGGAGTGGTGACCCAGCGTGCTCAGGGGGTTATAGAGAGTGCTCAGGGGGTGTCTGCCGTCTCGGATTGGGTCCTCGGATTTATCCTCTTAGGGAACTATGACTGGTAACCTACCCCTGCCAGATATGGGGGCCTTTCAGTTGGGACCAGTCCGTGTAGTGTCAAATAAAACTGAGAACGAAAGGCAAATATTATTATGTATAAGGTAATTACAAACCAATTTCCTATAGAAAGCCTTCCACAAAGAGGATGGTATTCCTTCCCATAGAAAGAAAACCTTTGTATGCTTTAAACAAACAGTAGCAAACACATGAAATACTAATTATAATGATAAAAATTTGATGTAATTGCAAGATCATATACATCGTCAACATCAAGCCGAAACCACGAATCAAGAACATCTTTTTTCAAGGGAAATAATTTTATTAGCATGGGCTTTATTTTGCAAAAATCGATGTACTACGCTTAAGTTCTAACATGTTTATAAAAAAAAGTGCACTTTACTGTTTGATCATAATGTAAAACAGAAAAAAATCAGTATTAATAATTAAAGGGCATCACCGTTGTTCTCGGACGGGAATGCAAAAATATTGTTCATTTTTTTCTTGTTCATTTACATCATATAATAGTTTAGATTCATGGCCTAAAATTTTAAAATAATGGTTATTCATTTTTAAATTCTATAGTGTAGAACATCGATTTTTGCAAAATTTATAAAACTGCCCTCCCCCCCCCAGTTTTAAAGCTTCTGTTCCTTTTTAAGCAAAAAAGTAAACATATAAAAATAACACAAAACATAGGCACATACTCTTTGCTCTCTTCCTCTGCTTTAAGAACAAAGGTGTGTGGTGGCCGAATAGAACCGAGGCATTTTACTAAATTGCGGGAATCACTATAAAAAGGAGGTCCAATTAGTCCTTAGACATAAACTATGAGGGATTCGGCAAATTTGATCATCAGAAAGTGAAAGGTAATGGATCAGATCTTCAAAAGTTACTATGTTTTTCCTACAAATTTTGCTGTGTGTTGTGTTATTAGAAATAATTCTTTAACTTGTGTTGAGTTAATATGGGCACTTAATATGGTACGCCCTGAAAAAGGAAATCATAAATTAGAAAAAAGTTTTTAAAAAATTAAGTTTCTTTTCTCCAGAAACTTGTACATTTTCTAACGAAGTGAACTCTATCGGAAGCATTTCTCGTGTAGAAAAATGTAAGCAATCCTCACCCCCCCCATTTGAAAATTCTGACTATTATACAATTATAGCTATTATAATAACAGACATAATTATAATCAATAAAATAAGTTTTTAATGCATTAAAAATTCATGCAGTATGTGCTATTGTGTATTTATCTAGACTGAAAATTTTGGTAAGTGATTAAACTGTTCAATTATTAATTACCTGCGGTTATAATTGTACTCGAAACATAAATTTCATTCACGGAGGTTTGACCTAGATGCTTTCATTTGTAGTAATTCTAATTTTATTAACTATACTATTCAGAGATATTATCAT